CCAAGCTGGACCTTTTTAGTCCATCTATATGGCTTATATGTTTTGGAGGCAATCTGGGGCAATTCTCCAGGAGATAGAATGGTCAGTTTTGAGGTGATTGTTCCTGTTAAAGTGACTCTTTCCAGTGTGATCAGATATGCACCTTTGCAGCTGTCTGTTTGTACCCTTAATTCTCCCTTTCCTTTTTGAACCTAGAAGCCTCTTCTCAGTCTTCTCTGGCAGCACTCCTCCTCAACCCTGCCTCTTCCACAAATGTCTGGCTTAACACTTCCATCCATATTTCTACTTGAAAAAAAAAAACAAATGCTTTAAAATACTCCTGCATTTAACTATCGCCATCCTAAGTTACACTTGGCTCTCTCATTCCTCCTCTTCGTTATTCTACTATTCTTTTCTTTTCCTTCCCCTTCCTCTTTTTCTTTTTCATTGTCAAAACAGTCTGCAAGCTCCTGGGATGAGGAACTAGCTTCTCCTTTTGACTGGTGTGTGTGGATATTTTACTCAGCAAAGCAGCACATATACTAAGGATGCTAAATAAATGTCTAAAGTTCCTCTACACAAAAGCAAGGCAAAGGAGCAATTTTCTTTGAAGACTTCACATACAGAGACAAATATTCCACTTGTTGATCAGCATTTCTGCATAGCAAAAAGCTCGGAAGAACATTTAAAATTCCAGGAGCATCCCACAAGTGTGCTGACATGCAATTACATGGAGGGCCTCAAGCTATGAGCACTGAAGTATGCAAAACCTGCCTAAAGCCAGCCAGTTATTAAGAGAGCTACGGGAAACCTCACCTTGTATTCATGACAGAATCAGATTTCAAGGACCCTTAAGGAAACAAACACCACCACTTAACATGGCCACCATATTGCTTCCTCTTATTTGACAGAATATTACAAAAATGTTCAGAGAGGTTTTCAGCATGTCCTCATTACATTTCCATTGGCCATTATGCTTTTAAGCGCTTACAGCATCTCCTTAAACAATAGGAAATATTCATTTGAACAATATAAAAGAACAAAGATATCACTGCATTTTAATAATGAACATGTCAGTATTGCCTAATCATTGATTGAGCCAAATTTTGACTCCCATATATCACTGCACATCATATTGTAGTAAACCCAGGCAAAACCTTGTAATTTTCAAAGTTATTTTGCAACATGCACATTTTCATTTTGCTTGCTGACATCTGATATTATTTTTAGCTTCAAGGTTTTTTTAAAAAAAGCCAAATGCCAGTATTTCTTATGTCTTAACAATGAAAATAAGGATAAGAATCACCTGATGTGATCATTTGGCTTCGAAACCATAGATGCTAAGGAACCTGCTTTAGTTGTCATATCCCATCAGGACTTTCAAACCATCATGGTTTCTTTATCTATGCAGTCAATATCACATTGATTGTTCAATAGATAGTGGTCTAGACTGGCTATTCTTTTTAAGTTTTCTATATTTTGAAAGCTACTGTGAGCTTGTTCTTCTTTGAAGCTTCTTTAAATGATACATTTTATGAACCAATCCTGGCTGACTGTGTAGCAACCTGAAGTTTTCAGTGTTTTTGCAGTCATCTCTCTATATAGCACATCGCAATAATCCCTATGGGAGTTTACCAGAGCATGTATACTACTCAAGGCTCTCTTGGTCTAGGTACAGTCATATGTGATACAGTACATGAATCAGAGGTGCTTTTTTAAAAAGCATCCCATGCCACTAAACTATGGACAAGGAACTTAATCATGTCCAGGAGCTAATTTTCTTCCCTGGGATCATCTGGAGGCCCTCTACAGACCACCCAAAACTCAAAAGAAAACAAAAGAAACCAGAAATACACTTTCAGTTTTGGAAATGGGTAAAAAAAATTGTATTGGTCAGTGACGTCAAAACAAAGCAAACTCTTGAAGTTTTCCAGATGTGGCAGTTCACCTTTTTTTTCTTCAGAAAAAGAAAGGACCAAGAAAGACTTAAGAGCCACATGCAACCCTGTCCCTGCTATCCCATAGGGTTGTGCCTTTTTAAAAAAATTCCAGTTCCCAGAGTTCTCCAAGAATTCCTTATGCAGAATTCTGGCAGGTCCAACCCATAGCAGATACCTACAAGCATCTCTATTTCACTCACCTGGACTGAGATCTACCTCAGGCTTTGATTCCTGTTTAAAAAAGAAACTACTCCAGTGCTTCCTGGGAAGCCTAGGTCTTTGTGGAAACTGTAATCTTGCTGCCCATTAAGCTGCACAGAAGGATCCTCTGAAAGAACCACCCCAGAAGTAGGCCTCAGTCCAGAAGAGTGAAATTTAGATGTCTGCCTGTGGGCTGTAACACCCAACGTTCTGTCTTAGAAATTCTTGGAAAATTTGAGAAGTTAAAAGTCCCAACCCCCAACCCCAGAATGTCACATCCTTACTGCCTAACCCTAACACTAAATCTTTCTAATAACCTACAAAACTATTCCTTTAGGATAGGCAGAAGATGATCCTTTGCTCCTCCCCAAAGATTCCAAATGTTGAGTTCAGAAAGTCTCCTTGTTTCCTCTAGGGAATGACGGGGCCAATCTTGCTAAATTTTGAGGAACCCCCAAAGTGTTATTTGTTTGCTTGCTTACTTTTAAAGCTAATAGACGGCACTTTTTTGATTTAAAAAAACTGTAAGGGAAAAATTGGGGGTAGTGCTTGTGAGGAACAGGTGTGGCCCACCATGGTCCCAACCTCTTGGATATCTCAAGATGACTCACCCTTGCCTTAGAGAACTATGACACCCTCATCCAAAACCAAGTTGTAATGTATCGATCCTGATTCTATCTATTACCAGTACTGGTTTAACTATTTCAAACCGCATATATTGCAAAAAAAAAAAATGAAATGTAGAGCAGCTGACAACTACATACCTGTGACATTTTAACCTGCATTGATGAATAACCTCTCTCATTGGTTTTATTCTAATGTTACAAAACAAAGAAGATAAAACAGAACTCTGAAAATTTACCTAGTATGGCCAACATGAAACAGAACTAGAGATGGGGTATTCATATTTGTATACAAATACACTCACGTGTCCAGTGGCAGTAGCAACCTTGCTCATCCTTCCAATTGCTCCCGCAGCTCCATTCTCTTCTTGCTCACCTGGCCACTCCAGGCAGTGGGAGGGAGGATGGGTCTCCCTGCATGGCTGCTGAACTGCTAGCTGAGCAGGAAGAGAGCGGCGCTCTGAGAGCAATTAGAAGGATGAGTGAGGCGGATGAGCGAGGCTGCTGCTGCCAAAGGATGCGTGAGTGGCTGGCCCCTCATTAAGTCCAGCTGCACACGGATATTCGTATTTGTATACGAATACCCCCATCTCTAAACAGAACAATATTTCCCCAAGTACCAGTTTTTGTTACAAATCCAGGTCTGAAACTAGTTTGAAATGGATCTAGAAATCAGTTTAATCCAAGAGTGCCTGGGGCTGCCAGTAATCACACCATCAAGCACTTTGCCTTTTGGCCAGCATCCGAAGGGGCCCTGGATTCTCACAGCAAAGTGCATTCATGTGAGAGATAGCTACAGGGTAAGGGAGAGGGGGTATCATCTCCTTCTGGGGCAAGAAACGTTGGCTGAAATGCAGTCAGTCCTTGCGATGTCTTCCTAAGCATTACAAGATGTCACAGAAAAGTCATCTTGTGATGGCTGGGATATATATCTGGAAGCCTGGTCTTCAGTCATCGTTGGAACTAGATGAAAAATCGTCACCATGCTTGTTGATGACATTTAAACAACCTGAGAACACAAATAGGCTCACATTTTAGAGGCAACAACATAAAACTCTCTCATGAAGAGTATTCTGGCCTCATGAATGTAGCTGTTGGGATTCCAGTTCTCATTCCCAGGTAACTGGAGGAAGTATAAATGAGCTAGCTTTTTTCCCACTGACAAGCAGAATATCTTTAAGCATAAGGAGAGCTCCACAAAGCAGACACAGTTTCCAGAACCAGCAACAGTATTTGGGACCTGCTCTTCTCTTAGGTCTAAGGCCTTAAAAAGCAACTGGATAGCCAGAACATTTCCATGAACATAAACTATATAATCAAACAGCTCTCTGGTCTGATCCAGGAGCATTCTTCATATGATTTACTTAGATGTGTCTTTTTAAAAGCCAATTTAACTTTGTGTGGCGAGATTAAGCATCTTCTGAAATTTTTCTTCTTGTTACCTAATTATGAAAATACTCAAACTTTCTCTTTGCCTGGTGGTGCCTGATAATGTAACCCTAGTTCCTGCTCAAGTTGAAATTTACTAAGCCTGTGCCTGCGTCAATGGCACATGTTTTCTGTTCTCTCATTTTTAATATCATTCTTCAATGCATTTTAAGACTTGGTTCATTAATTAGTAGTGTCAGTGCTCTTACAGACAATAGAATGGCTGGTAATTTTGTGCCTTTAGTGCAAAGCATGTGTGTTTCGAAATAAGCCTCACTAATTAACTAGCAAATATGTTTAGGATCGTAATGTTAGTTTCAGAGAAAGTCACCAATATCTGTTGAAATTTTCTGAAGGAGGAATTTGCCATAATAAAATATGGAGAAGACTAGATAATTTTTTCAGTACAGATACAGTAAGAAACACACAGCTTCACTGAAGCTCTCTCTGTGTGTATGGATGGACAGACTATAAAACACAAGGCAGATAGGAAAAATTGTGCTTTCAAAATACAGTGGACCCTTGACTTACAGACGGCTTGACTTACAGACTTTCTGAGTTACAGACTTCTCTGGCCACAAAATTTAGGTTTGACTTGCAGACGGAGATTTGACTTACAGACCAGAAAAAAACCAAAATGGAACAAAAACGGCCTGTTACGGGATTAATCAGTTTTCAATGCACTGTAGGTCAATGGAGACTTGACTTACAGACTTTTTGACTTGAGAACCGCCTTCCAATACAGATTAAGTTCTCAAGTCAAGACCCCACTGTACCGTATATTCCATGTCTACAAATAAACACGTGGAAAGAAATTTTGTTTACTTACAGTCATTGGATAAAGGATAGTAGCACAAAAGATCAAGAAAACTTGCTCCTTTTAATTCTTTATCATCTTTGAGTTCCGCAACACAGGCACAGAATCCAAGAAAAGCAGTTTTTTGCAAATCTGCATTAATGCTATGCAAACAGATTTCTCGGAGTATATTTGTATATATGTATACTATTTCCCAGCACCAACAGGAAATGTTTTCCTTGCTATTCTTTTCCTATAGGAAGAAAGATAACATTTAGTTGCCTATGTACCAAGTCAATGGGAAGATCACATTTCCAAGAAAAGAACTGTTTATCAGGAAATGAGGTTGAGAATCAACCTCAGCAGAGCACAGCATGTAGCAGGAGGAGTCCCCAAACACAGCATGCTTGGCTTACCATGTTTTGAGGAAAGTGAAGTAATAAACATTACCATCTAAAAAAAGAGTGGAGTCAAAGCAGAAGAGCAGTAAGTTCAGTATTTCAAACAAACTGAATTACAGATTGTTGGTACCCAATTCTTTATTTAAACAATTATTACACGGTAAGCAGATTCACACACTCTTTCTGCTCTGTTTGGTGGGGCTTATTTCCAAGTGAGAGCAACATCCCCCCCCAAAAAATACTCTTNAGTCCTTGGGACACCCTTGCTTCCAGGTAAATACTATAAGAACAAACGATTTGCTCAGTTGAGCAAAATATTGTCCCTCGGCCACTTATAAGATTTGGGGCTGCAGGAGATATTTGGGATATAAATTAAACACATACATGCATACATTCCAAATTTATTCAGTGGAAATAACCAGTCTGTTTCTTCTGTATTCCAGTTTGCAGTACTAAGATCAACATAAACTCCAGGGACAAACAGTAAAGAAAATAAATGGTTTGTTTTTATCTAATTTAGTGTTTTCAACGAGCACATTTCCTTCCCACATCTAAATTAGTCTGGCTGTTACCTGCTTCGGAAGAGGCACAGAGCTTGCAATAAAATCTCTCACTAGGTCCATTAAAACATTCAAGCAGGACATGTTTAATTTGGCTGTCTCTCCAAGGACCATCAAGCTCAATATTGATTCCAACCTAAATATTTAGGACAGAAAGGGCACATGTTCATATGTGTATGGGTGTGACTGTGTGTGTATTCAAATTGACATTTATATAGCCATTTAGAAGCGATTCATTTCAACATTTATGCCATCTTCAGGTATTCCAAAACCTGGATGAGATAAACATGCGAGAAGGTGATGCAGGGTAGTTTTGCTCTCTCTCTTCTAATTTTTGTCACTTCACATATAAAGGGCAACCTTAGAAGAACAAGTCCTCCTCTAGGCATGAAAATTCTCCATAGAATCAATCAGGAAAAGTGGTTTTCACTACATGGTAAAACCTGAGGGTCAGACTACACACAGCAGACAGCATGTGTCAGATATGTGAATTTCTTAAGTGCTTGAAAGATGCCTATCTGTCATAGAACTAGCTTTCTACCCCACCACCACCTTGTCTTGCAAATTTATTGACTCATCACAAGCTTGGTCTTCAAGTCTGAATCCTAGGCACACAGCATGGTGGAACTGTACCCTCTAACTATCTGTAAAATCTGATTTGACCCCCAGTCAATAAACGGTAAGCATACCCTGACTCAAGGTAAATAAGGCAAGTCATCTTCAACAGCTACATGGCCGGCACAGTATGGTCCTCTCTATGCTGGGAATAGCTGTTCTATTTGAGTTTGGGCTACTGCGCAGTCATGAACATTTTATTCAGTTCACTTTTTGATGAGAACTTATCAATACAAACAACCTTCTTCAAAAACAGGGTGGAGAGAATATTGGTTTTTTTAGAAGTCTGTCTTGAATGTGACAGAAATCGAAACTGCTATATTTTATCCACCCCTACTATTCACACAGTGGTTGAAATCCCATTGCATAGCAAAGTAAGTGACAGTAGTGTGAGTGAGCCAAGATGAAACCTTATTTTAACAAGCAATATTATGCTTTGTTCTTTTATGCTTTATGCTTTATTCATAGTTAATGCTTGATGTATATTGTCTATGATAGATTTTTCTGTAATGAGTTTTAAGCACTGTATGGGTTATGTAGTCTGTAATCAAAATACCTTGTAAACTTTGTAACAGAACTTGTGTAACTTTCCATGCTATAAGATTACATTTCCTGCCCTTGTAGTCTTAGAACATCTTCCCACATTTCTGCACCACAATTACCTTGATTCTTGTCAGACCAGCAATAAGAGAAATCAACATTATAATGAGATAAGAGGGAAAAGGAAAATATTTCTTCAGACATTCAGGCAATATTTTTGCACACCCTGGGTACATTCTGACTTTAGGTCAAGGGAACACGGGGGCACAATGCATATTTACACATAACCAATGCTTGGAGTTAATTGGCACTGTTAATCCAATTAGAAGCAGGAGCCAAACTTGGGGTTCAGGGAACCAATAAGGGAATGTTTTGCTTTATTGCTTTTTGTGTAAAACCCTATAAAATGCCTATGCAATTTCTAATCGGGACTCTTCTCTGCTTTTAAGATGAAGAGTCCAGCTGTACTTCTTTAATAAACTGGCTTCAGTATCAGCTGTGTGTGTCTTAGCCTGTTGTTCTTGCCGGAGATTCCGAACATTAATTTCAAAGGTAACAGTAGCATAGGTCCATTAAGTGAGTGAGGATTTGGTGACTCAACTCCATAAATTCCACTGATTCAGCAGGGCCTACTCTAGTTGTGAGTTATTTTTGCATAGTAAAATTCCTCTAGATTAGGCCCAACTGAATCAGAGGAACTTACAGATTTCAGCCATTAAAAGATGTAAAACAGTAGTTGGGGTAGCCCCAGTCTTTCCCAGCAATTCCAGTTAACAGCTTGAGCACAGGTAAATAGCAATCCACATATAATGAGAGTTTCATGCAGGGTGAAGTTGCTAGCTAGAATAGCAATAGCTGTGATATCTCAATGAGAAAAGACAACATCTGGAGAACACACTTAAGAAACTCAATTTTACTGGACAGCTTAAATTCAAGCGTCTTTTTTACTCTATACCTTTTAGTATTATCAAGGAATCTCATTGTTAGTATTTTACCAAACCACTAAAATAGATCAGATTTCCACTCAAACAAACAGAAACATTCCTTCATTCACCAGCATCCAGAGGCTCTATTTAACTCTGATATTGTTCATGAATTAAGATTTGAATGCTAGGACATTGCTGTATCTCAACCATTTGTTTCTTTCCCCAGAAAGTTAAAAAGCTGGCCATGAGCATGACTTTAACGCTGTAATTGAAAAAACTGTCAGGAGGCAACAATTCAAGTTTATATCAGGGAAGGGGGACCTCTAGTCTGCAGGCCTAATCTGGTGCACAATTAGTGCAAACTACCCTATGAATGGTCCAGGTATTCTCTCCACAAAGCCCTGTCTCTTGTTTATTCCTCATCACCCTATTCATCTTCTGAACTGGGAAAGGGTTAGGGTTGGTAATTTCCAACCAAATGCAAAAGAATGATAGGGATCCTCCACCAATACCACTTGGGAAGGCCAGTGACCTATGGAAGAATCCTGGTTATCTTTGATCAGAGATCATAGAAAGAAGCTTTGCTTGCCTTGTGCTGTCCCTGGTAGAAAGCACAAGGCAGGTGAAGTTTATTTTATTTATTTATTTATTTATTTAATTTATCCCCCGCCTATCTGGCCCACCGGACCACTCTAGGCGGCTTCCAAATAAAAAATCAAATAATAAAACATAGACAAATACATAATAATCAAACAAGAACAGCAGTAAAGATAAAAAGGAAAAGTAAGAAAAAAATCAAGAGTTGGCTGGAGGGAAGGCCTGAATAAACAGCCATGTTTTTAATTGGGTTTTAAAGGTGC